CATGAGGCACAAGGAGGATTTGTTTTTCCTTTCCGCTCCCTTGCAATAATTTGCTGGTGTGGCACAATTGAATACTGGAAGTCTTTCTATTATTTAAGGTTTTTCATGTATGTTAATATATTGTTTGTAAGATATCTGAAGTTTTATATCTTTTTATTTAGGAAATGCACCACAAACCTATGTGCAAAATACAAAAGCAAACAGGCCAAACATGGGCTTTTTATCTCTTTCCATCCCTTTTGAGATGTAAACAGAAACTTTCGGTACGAAAGAAAAAAAACAAAAAAACATCCAAACTATCTGCACTATTTCTGAGTTATTTTCACGGGGTAATAAAACCATCAGTTTTGATTGTTTCTTTATTTTGTTGGTAGTCTGAATGATTATCTCAACCTTTCATAAACAGACATAAACATGCAGTGAATAAATCAACTTTCAATCAGTTTTTGCATCAAAGAGTTAAGAATACACAAACACGTTTTCTCTGAGGCTCTTTAATTGTAAATCAATATTTGTGACTGTAAACAGAATAAGACTGGGGTGTATTTGGTAATTTAATTGCGAGGGAACGCAAAAGAAAAAAAATTCCCCATATGATAATAGAAAGAATTGCAATATTTTTATAAACAACTTCTGATGCATCTGATGTCGGTCAGCAGACTAATTTACCTTTGCATCGATGAAATGAACTCGACTCATCATCGGTACGGTCACTTCGGCCATCTGCACGTCTCCCTCCGGTCCTACATGTATTGCAGCTGCAGCAGACGAGCTTTCCCCGTCTCCGTACGTTTTCACAGCTGATAGTTTCCTGAAAGAAAACAAACAGAAAGCGTGACGCTTTAAGTAGCTGGAAAAATGGAGAAGATAAATGCCCCCAGCATTCAGAGACGCTGCGTACCTGTTTTTGCCCCTGCAGACTATGATGAAAGCACAGATGATGATGCAGGTGAGAGCGATGCAGACGCCCACACTGATCCCTGTCATTGACTTTTGGTCCAGGTGGTAAAAGCCATTAGAAAAACCTGCAGTGGATCACGACGTGAAGTAACAAACCCGGTCTCATTTTCAAAAACCAGCCGTTGTGAGTGTGCCGTGTGGCTTTCACTGACCTGTGGAGTGTGTGGAGCCACTGGAAAGTCCGGCATCATGACCAGAGGAGAGGTCTGCTCTTACCGTCAGCTCCACCACGTCAGAAAACGGCCCGTCGCCCATGTTGTTGGATGCTGAAACTTTTACCAAGTAAACCTGGCCTGGACTCAGGTTCTCCAGCAGCGCCATGGTGATGCTTCCTGTGGTCAGATGTAACACTTTCTGAATAAACAGCTGAAAATGATGTTTTCTTTTTTTGCCCTGTTCATTTACATGTGAGAGTACAGGGCTGCAGCTAATAATCATTTAGTAATCGATTAAAAAAAAACTCATACTGCAGATTTTTCATTCAACCACTTAATCTTATTTTTTATACAATATTAGGAATACTTAAGAAAATGCAAATAAACAAATAATATAATTTCTTTTTTTAAATCTGAAAACATTTTATTGCCAAATACTTTGATCGACTGTAGCAAAAGATCCATCTGCAGCTTTAAAAATACTTGTAACATCAACATGTGAAAAGCTCACCCTGTCCTGCTTGACTTAATGTTAAATCTATTGGCTTATTTATTGTTTACTAATAATCAGCTAGTAGAAGATGTTTAACACAAAATTAATTAGCAGAATTTGAACTTGGTGAAGCTAAAACTCGGCCACTTTAGGAGTTTTAGGTAGAAAATATTTACAGTCAATGACAGTTTCTCAACATAATTGCTAAATTTATATATTTTTGTACAGTTTTGGCTTAATTACTGCTCTGATTGTATTGTTATTTTAGCAAATTGCAAAAAATATACTCCAGCTAATGATTACTTGATTATTTAATTGGTTGACAATTATTTCAGTAATTGATTAATCTGATTAATTGTCTGGGAGAAAATAAGGAGAGTTTAGTCTAAGCACAATTTAACTTTATATGTTGGTCATTAAAAAAAAAAACAGGAGAAAACTGAAAAAACTGACACTTGTTCAATGCTGTCAAAATGCATTCAAGGATTAGAACATGTGCCAAATTTAAATTTTGATATTAAATTTGAAATATTAGGCCAGTCTAAGTGAATAACATAAAGTCATTAAATTAAACTTATCTAAAAAAGTCACTTTTTCTTGTGTTCAATAGAAATTAAAAGAACAGCTTTAAGAACAAAAACACTCTATGACAAAAGCAAATTAGTAATTTTGTTTTCAATTGCAACTATAACGTTTCTGTTTGTGTTAAGCGAACCAGTGTAGAGTTTGATGCTGCGATGCAGCCAAAGTGAATCCTCACTAGACGACCATCTGAGGGTAAAACCTGGAGGTCAGGGGGCATCAGGGCCGCCCACATTCCCTAACCTGGTACCGCCCTGCCTGCTCACCACCAGGGTCCCTGCAGGGGCTTCTGGGAGGTGGATGGGGGAGGAAGGAGGCTTTGTGAACCACTTCACTTCTGACCTCTTGGCCAATGGCAGAGGGGGTTGCTATGAGCTCAGCTTGTGTGTTTCCTGGGGTCATCTACGCTTTAAGAGAAGCTCTACTGCATCACACACCAGACAGCAGGTTTATATTACTAAACTGTGACACTTAAATTATTCCTCTGTACATGGAGCAGCAATGTGTGACTTTAAGGTTTTTATGTTCTGGAAGGATGTCTATCGAAAAAAATAAATAAATCAGTTATCAGGTGAATTTTAATTAAAATAGTAAAAACCAATTAAGGTTAAAAAGAGCAAACATTTTCTTTTTAATCAGATATAACAGCTGTTTTTTAGATGTTAACAGAAAGTCTGAATATTTCTGAGCTGGGCTGCAACTAATGACTATTTTTGTAATCGATTATTCTGGCAATCAGATAAAACAACCACTTTAACCTTTTTTATGCAATTTAGAATTACATAAAAAGATCAGAAATAAACCAACAATTCAATTCCTGTTTTAAAGAAGAAAATAAAAAAATGATTGCTTAAAATGCAATAGCACAGCCTTCCTTTAGTGAATTTAAACCAGATAAAGATTGGGTGAATTTATTTTACAAAGATGTTTTTATCACAAATGTAAAATGTTTATATTTGTTCAGTCTTGGCCTAATTACTGTTCTGAATAGGTTATCTTTCTCAGCAAATATCCTTTATTTCAAATCTGTGCACTCTAGTTACCGATAACTAAATTAATTGATAAATAGTTCAATAATGGATTCATCATGATTAATCCGAATGATCATTTCCTCCCTCTTTCTGAGGTAAAAACAGAGACAGAATTAGTTATTCTATCTACTGTGTATCCATACTTACAAAATATTCATTCATATCTTTTAAATGTGGTTTGCATTTATCTTCCAGCAGGACAACAAACCCTAAACATCCAGCCAGAGCTGAATTGGTACTGTTTAGATCAAATGGTCCAGTCAAAGTCCAGACATCAAACCAACTTAAAATCAGAACTTGAAAGGTGATGTTCACAGACACACCTGATCAGGTGTGACAGCATTTGAGCTATTTCACAAATGTTTAAATCTAGTTTGGAGACAAACTACAAATGTCTGAAGATTCAACTGCAGCAAAACGTGTTTCTACAGAAAAGAAAATGTTGAAAACAGTGCATTCCTTTGCACTTATGTGCTATTTTGTGTCCAATTACATAAAAAACCCAACTGAGGTTTGTGTCTGTGAACAGCTGAAGAGCTGTGAATACTTTCTCCATTTGTTGTCCTCCTCACCTTCTCTTTGCAGGACTTGCCATTCACCAGCAATCCAGGCATTTCGTGAGGCATACAGTATAGTGTAGTGCGTTACGGCCACATTTGGTTCATCTGGGAGTTTCCACGAAACGAGCGCCGTGTCTTCTTCAATCAGCGTCACTTTGATGTTGGAAGGAGGTAATGTTGGAACTGAGAGATAATGGAGGAAAGAACAAACTCAAAATGTGCACCGGTACCATTAGATGAGCAATTTTAGCTTCAAATAATGGCTAAGTTTCAAACTTACCTTCAGGGAAAGTGTTTTGATAGACCACAGGGCTCCAGGGGCTGGAGAGCTGGTCGATATGAAGGCGCACAGCAAATTCATACTTGGTGTTCGGCTCGAGATCACGCACAAGAAGGCTCTGTTCACCTCTGCAGAGAGAAGACATGACAGGTCAGAGAACAACATAAAACCAACTAAATGAAGCGCTTTGCTCAACTGGCTTTGAGCTAAAAGACAGAGGACAAGTTGTAGCTGTAAAATTAATTATTTCTGGCACCATGAGGCCACCACTGATTTTATTCAGATTATAAGCTGGGCCAGCCTGTTTAAAGTGTCCAGGAGATGGAGATGTGGAGCTGTGCAGAGGATGCAGGAACACAAACAGCACATTTATACTTCAGGATTTAAGCTGAAAATGTGAAACAATTCCTCTAGATTCAGACAAAAAGTTCATCAAATTACTGCTGCGTTACACAAAATGGTGATCAGAAAAGCACTAAAAGACATTATCACACAGCTAACAGTAGCTGGATGTCTTGGAAAATTATTTCTGAAAGTTAAAGGGTTACAACTAACAATTATTTTAGCAATCAACTATTTTACCAATTATTTTAATTATTAATCAATTAACTGAATAAAAAATGTATCATATTTGCAAAATTTTCATTAATCACTTTGGCTTATTTTACACAATATTAAAAATACATTAAAACATGTAAACAAAAATAATTTTATTACCCAAAATGCAGTAAAATAGCATTTCTTTAGTGAACAATTATTTTAGTCCTGAAAATAAATAATAAAAAAACCTCAAAGTTGGTTTAATCTTCATGACAGTTCTTACGTTTGCAGGTAGAGGACCAGCGAGGCGTTCTGCAGTCCTACTGGGTTGCAGCGGACGGTGTAGTTCAGTGCATGGCTGGAGGTGAAGGCCGGTCGGCCCCAGAACAGAAACACGGCCGAGGAGCTGTTGGTCCGGGCCTGAACGTTGTGAGGAGGCGGTGGAGGCGGCACGAGGCGATCTCGGACAGCTACCAGAGATTGAGACTGAATTTAGCTAAAGTGAAGTAAGGAAGTCGGAAGTTTTCCAGGTTTGGACTTACAGACACATCCAGGAGTGCTGATGGTCTGATCTGCTTGGTACCCGTCTCCAACAGCGTTGTAAGCCAGCAGCTTGACATGATACTTCCTTCTTGGGTCTGAATTGAGAAACAGTTACAACGTTTAAATGAGTGTAACTCATTCAATATTGGGTTAAAAGTTTAAAAGAGAGCTGGACTGTGTGAGGTCGGTGGGGTTTTCTGGTGTGGTGGGAAAGAGGTGGCCCAGTGGAGCAGATGCTTGGTGATGGGAGTCCTCTGGTCAGTTTAACCCCACAAAGGGCAGCAGAACAGAGGAGCTCTACTATCCATCACCCTGTCAGCTCGGGTCTTTTGATAGCAAATGACAAAGGCTTTTCTCTGGCCTCGGTCAGTGGCCACTTCGACTCGAGGTCTGAATCTGGGGGTCAAACAGAGAGGCAGAATCCCCAGGGAGGGGGCGCTGCAGACGGTCAGCAGCAGTTGTGACCTCCGTGACCACGAAGACCCACTGGCCATCTGACCAAATGAACCTTTTACTCCTCAAACAATGACCAGGCCAGGATTTAAATGCTGTGTACGATTTCACATTTTAAAGGGGTCATGTTGTTCTCCCTGGAACATGTTAGGATACATTTATGGGCTTTACAAACCATGATCGTTATATATGTTTTTTTTTTTTACACAAAATCATTCTTAGATTTTAGTTTGTACAAGTGGTTTCTGAATAGTTAGTCAACAACAAAACACTTGTCTTTTCATTTGTACAGTGCCTAGAGCAGTAAAACCAGCTGACCAAATGTGCTTAAGTTCCGCTCGGGTTGCTAGGTAACAGGGCTGGGCTTGGGTGGGGTTGCTAGGTAACGGCTTAATAATCAGGGATTTTTTTGACATTGTTACATAATAATAGTATTAATAAAATTAAGTAACATATAGAAATAGTTTTAGAAACTGCTCAATTTACAGATACCAAACAAACATTAACTTATTGTGAAAAACAGCTGGGTGTTTTTTTTAGCACTCAGGTTGTTTTTAGAAGAAGTTGAGACCCAAATGGAAGCAAAAACAAAAAAGTGGAAAAAATTAGAATTTCGCAATGTAGGTCCCATTTAAGATTAGGAAAATATTTATTAATTTCACAAAGTTAGTTGGCAAGTTTTGAGAAACACATAAAAAGACACATGACCTCACAGTATTTTCTGTTTAGTAGGAGACAAACATGCCTATCTGTTGCAGTGAGGACATAAGACAAGGAGAAGACAACAGGAGGACGAGCTTGTTTCCATGGAGGCTGAAAAGTTTAGCTAGGGGTGGAGCGGAGCTGCCTGCACCCCCCATGCAGCCCTGAGGAGTTTCACTGAAGCCACAGCAGGGCCAGCAGGTCAGACTGAGATAAAACCGAAGAATTCAGGGAGGTGGGAGTGATATATGAGATGAGAGGTGAGTCCTGCTCTGCAACAGTTAGTTGCAAAGACAATAAAGAGCAGCGGATTAATGAGATGAATGGTTCCTGTGAGTTTTTAAATGCTGAAATTAATCAAAATTGAGCAGAAACAGCATCACTTAAAGCTAAACTCAGAGATTTTGAACGGTATTGACTTCCAGAGTAGCTTTTTTTTTTTTTTTTTTTTTAAGGCTAGACCCCAGTGTCCACCTCTTAACAGGAGGAGGCATTTAAAGCGCACCTCTTCCCAGCTCTACAAATACAATGGGCCTGCCGTAATTATGCGCAAGAGGAGCTCTGAGAGGGGGGAAGCTTTGACATCTGGGCCATGACCTTTGACATGGAATCTGGGCAAGCTAAATCCTGCAAAAGGAGGGGATACACATCTCACTCTGAAAGGGGGGGAGGTCCAGAAGAGGAAGTGAGTGGAAAACCAGGGAATCTCACAAAGAGTGGGAATTAAATTGCTGCTTAAAAAGGGATGTAGCAGCATCCTGACAAGAGACAACTCAGTCAATAGGTCTGTTTTTTTGGCTTCCTGGTGTAAAACCAAAACATTACCATGCGACCAAATACAAAGTTACATCAATATAATCTAGAATAGCCTATTAAACACTGGTTTATTTAAAAACACTAATACAACAACAACAACAAAAAGCACAAAAAATATACCTGCTAATGTTAATTTGAATTTTGACTAAATCAAATGCATAAATACAAATATATAAAGCAAATACAATTTCAAATATCCTGTTATATAGTATGTACCACTGGTGGGTGATATGGACTTTATTTTTATTATGATATTTTGTGGTATTGTGATAACCATCGCAATAACTTTTGTTGTAGCCTTATCGTAAATAAGAACTATTATTTCTTTTTTAGGTCCTGCATTGTTGTGACTGCATAACACAGCAATCATAGCACACAAACGGCAATATTGTTCTTGTAAAACATTTCATGATACTCTTAGCTAAGACACCAGTCTCATAAGAAACTGTCTAAGCTACACACAGTAACTGCATTTAGTCATATTTATTGATACTCTCATTGAACAAATATTAGAGAAAATAATACAAATAACAATGCTGACAATACGGTCAGTTCTAGAGGTCATTAATTGGAATTTATTAAAGCAGCGATATATCAAAATTCTTATGATAAGAAATGTATTACGATAAATGATAAACGACAGGATAAATGCTCACCTCTACTATGTACTCCTTAAATGTCTGCAGAGCTTGCTTTGGGTGCCAGAACTAAAGATGCTCAGACATTTGTATATTGTTGTGTTTGATCCCTTTGCGGTTGCCCCTTTTCTCTTTCCCTCCTTTTACAGATGAAACTTAATTCCTGCTGGCCCCTGAAGTTTTGTTCTGTTGCAAAAAGCCCCCCAGGCCGCAGCAAGCCGGGCCTGAACGGGGGCCATAAATGTCAAGTCCTGCATGAACCCCCACACCACGGCATCCATCATCCTCCCCGCCGCCTCCTCTCTATTGAACTTACTCACACAAATCAACTCTCGGACGTACGCTGACGTACTCACACAACCTTTTAAAATTCTGCCTTTTCGTGCGCTTACAAGTGTTTCTGTACACTTTTTATCAGAGTGAGACGGGATGCAGCATGGCGTGACATAAATCTACATTTGTGCACACAGCGCCGATTGGTGCCAACAGGTATGACGGGTATTTAGGCCTGGGCAGTAAATGCGCCTCCAAGCAGCGTACACATGTGAGGAAGGGTCAAACCACTGAGCCATTTATACCCAGCTGGAACCGCTCCAACACATGCCTGCCTCTCATGGTGAGCTTTTAATCATCGGGACTGTCATAAGCGATAACTGTAAATGGTAGTTGGGGGGGGGACAACGGTCTAGTAGCTGCTGACTCAGCAGAATCCAATACTGCCACAGTTAAAAGTTCAGGGATCAATGGTGCTGGCAGAAAAAAAAGACACAGCCTCTGTGTTTTACACCAAGTGGATTATAGGAAAAGTCATTTACAGAGCAGGGAGATTTAATTTGGAGTGATCACCTGCTGTAAAAGATCAGCCTCAATAAGCCTCAGCAGCCTGCGCTGCTTCAAAGCCACATGATTCAAGTTACCAAGGTCCACACTGTGGTTTATAGTGGAATTAGTCAAATATAAATCTAGCTAGGAGTGCTGCATAAGAAATGTTTTCCAAATGTGCCCTCATCTCTTCAGGAAAAATCACCTCAGCTATCAGGTTAAGACCTCCTCGATTTTAAGATTCATTAACCGATTTTACTTTTGGTTCACCTGCCTTAAACGGTATGAAATTGTTTTTATGTTATTATAGTGAGAAATATAATCTTGGAGATTAATCTTAGCTCAAAGGTTTGGTTCAATTTACTTGTATTGGGCGTAAAATCTACACGAGTTAGGTTAATTTCATGGAAAGCACATTGCACTAATCACCTGGATGTCTTCATAAATAAAAAACATTTTAAGGAAATATGGAAGAACATTTCAGAGGGACATTTTTTATTTCAAAGAAAAGCGTCTTGCTGTTTATTTTGTATAAGTTAAATGTTTAGATAATTAGAGGATGTGGGATGACCACAGGTGTGTGTGTGGTTTTTAAGTAATTTTATTGCGTGAAATCGATGACAACCCTCTAGATTTTCTGTTACTTTAAAAATAATGTGCAACTTTCCAATTTTTCAGCCTTTTTCCCCATTTATTTAGCCAATTTAATGCAAAAGCGCATCCACGTTTTGTCGTACTCAACCAAAATAACATACATTAGATTATGTTTTAACCTTACAACATTGCATATCTTACATTTACATCTGGTTGTACTAAGGGCTGCAGCTCAGAGAGGGAGTTCTCAGACCTGCCTATTGTTTGGGCAACAACTCATTTGGCCAAGGGATGCATTTCCTTTAGGTCCTGGCTAATAAACCCTCTTTGTGGCTCTGAAAGCCAAACACAATGAGACTCTTTGATCTCCGTGCTCCTCAAGCAAAACTGCTCAAAGCAGCCATAAAACACGTGATAAATCAGCCTCCACAGAACAGCTTTCTTCTTTTTAACACACAACACTGCAAGAGTCTTTTAACAAACAGGAACAAAACAACTATTCTCTTCATTTCAGCTACATCTCTGTTATTTATTTAGCCAGTTACTACATTTAAAATGCATTTTACAGTAAGAAAAATATCCAGAAAGCATAATTACATTGGTATAAAACTTAACATATTGAGATACTGCTAGTTTTCTACAGCCTCTTAAGTACATTATGACTCTTGTTAATGATTTTCAGCTATATTTAACACCAGCTGTGATTTACTGTGCCTTCCTGATCTCCTACAATCACAGAGCTTCCTGATTTACAAGTTAGCTGCTGACCAGCTGGCTGACCCCTTTGGCCACAGATGGTCAGATGTCCAGCACACTGGCCAGAGCCCCCGCTCCTCTTTCAAACAAAACACAGAAAATAAATCTGACCCAAAGGGCCAGAAAAGCTCTGATGTGCCCCCAAAGTCTATTCAGCAGCCACAGAAAAGCCCCATGCAGAAATATTGCTCAGAGGTGAAAGGTCAGGGAAGTGGGATGTGGTTCTGTTCTCTCTCTAGACCCAGAGAAACTCTGCTCAACACATGACAAGACTTAAGCCTGTTAATCATTCACAAGTTTGGGTGTCAACAAATGCGACGACTGCTTCTACCTGAATCCAAGACTTTTTCTCAGAATATGAGTAAAGTTGGAGAGAATGTGGAGGGAGATCAAGATGAGGGTAAATTATAAATAAAATCTCTGCTTTTTTTCAACCAGTTCTGATTTTATTTTATTTTTTGCTCTGAAAATGAAAATATTTTCAAAAAGTGGCTTTTATTTCAATCATCCCTTCTTTGAGTTGTATGATGGGATAAGAGGGTCAGGCTAAAATATCTTTTGTTTTAATTACGAGAATAAATTCATAATATTAACAGAATAAAGACACAATTTTACCAGGTGAAAGTCTTAAAATTACGATAGAAAAAAAAAATCTCTTTTAAGAAGAAAAAACATTGGAGAATTGTTGCTTTTTTCATGTTGGAGTTCTCTACTTCTTAATTCTCCACATATTACGACTTTCATATTATTTTGACTTTATTCTAAAAAAAATCCTTAAAAGTCCTCATAAAGTTGATCTGAATTCAAAGTCCAAATAAACAGAGGCTCTAAAAGATGCCTGTCAAACAAGATGGCTGCTCTGAACTATGGAAACCCAACGAGTGCAATGGTGGGGAAAAAAAAAATCTAGATTTACAAAAAATTTAACCTTCAAAGACCAGAGATTTGATTCATTGATAAAATCGATTTAGCTCAATGGTAG